GAATGAAAGAATAAAAAAACCAAGTATAAAACACCAGTGGTCCCAACAACACCAGGAATGTACAAGAATCTATGACTAGGAGGCTCTTCCAGATCACTATACTCCCTTTTTTTCTCTAGTCCTTGGAAATGGGGATATGGCAGGGACTTGAACTCTTAATTTCATATCTTCCATGCATAAGCTTTCTTTTGGAGACCCCAGAACAGGGGCCAGTGTGAAGGGGTGGGGGTTGAGTAGGTGGAACCAAGCTGGGGGAGCACTTAACTGTGGGAAGGAGGGAGACATGGTGCATGCGTGAGCGCTTACACACACTCATGCGCACCCCTTCTTCAACTATCTCTGAAAAGCAGGCACATGTATATGCCAGGCTTGGTCAGGGTGTTTCAGAGCACCAGAGAGCAGCAACAAAATGTGTGCAGGGAGCAAAGAGCTGTCTCTCATGGGCTTGGGCTGCTTAGGCACAGCTGTGTTCAGCAGGCCCAGCATAGGAATGAAAATGCTTCTCCACAGGGAAATTCAATGTGTGGAGAAGCCAACCTGCACAGGGCATCAGCTGCCCGCCTCCATTCAAACCCAGCCCCCCGGTAGGTAATCAGACTTACATGTTCCAGATCCTGAAATAGCCAGCCTGCACACCTCAGGCTCAGGGCGAGGAAGCGAACGGCCTCAGGGGTGCTAACCAACCCCCATGAGGGCTGAGGCTGAAAGCCACACAGTCCCCTTCCTCTGGGACGCCTGACATCCATCACCGCTGCCCTACGCACATGCCTCAGCCCTCAATGAGGGGGCTGCCTAGTCCGTCACTTGAGTGACAAGATCTCCAAGTTGGCACCAATCTGTAGACCAGGCTCCATGAGAAATTCTAAAGATAGAGGCAAAGAGAGGGACCCTGGAGTAATGACTGTGACTCACTCTTCACCTGGAGCACATACTATGGAGCAGCCAGTGAGGGATTAAAAAAACACAGTCTCTGCAAATTAAAGGTGGGCTGGGTTCTGGAAACTCAGCCCCTTTCCAAGGCTGGCTTGACAAACACAGAAGCCCATGCAAAAAAAAAAAAAAAAAAAAGGGTATGCAGATGTTTTTATTTTTTCCCCTCATCATCTTTAAATAGCTAACTCCCAGACTTCTTACAAGTAGGAAAAAGGCAACCCGCAGAAAATTCCTGATGGCCCCAAACTTTCACTTGTCATTTATAGAAGCAGCACCCCAGAATCTCTAAAATTCTGGGCACTCAGAAGAAAAACAGCTCCCAGATAACCACCAGAAATCATTTTACAAATGTTCTCCCCTTCTTCTTTCATGCAATCGTGTTCATCCCCCCCCCCACCCCCACCGTCACCCTGCTGGAAGCTGAGAACTTCCCTCTGGCACCTCACAAACAATGAAGCCCAGGGCCAGTCCCTGACCATGTTCAGTTATCCTGAAGGCTCCCCAAATCGTCCCCATTCATTATCATCAAGACCCCGAAAAGAGGCACCACAGGGAAATCCACAAGCCTTGGTCAGCCAGGAAAAGCCACTCAGGGTAAACTCATGGTCTCTAAAGACATTTGCTTCGCAGCCGTTCTTCAGACTACTCCAGGTGAAACCAAAACTTCACCTCTACTGCAGCTGCTGCAGCCTTCTGCCAGTTTCGCCGCAGCAGATCGTCAGGGTTGGAGGGGCTGCTGGGGGTGCTCTCCCCGGCTCTGACATTCCTCCGGAGCCTCAGTAAAATACATGTGGATGCACATGTGTCCCCCACCCTCCAAACACACACAGACGCCTTCCCTTGCTCTTCAAGGGTGAGGACCGAAGGAGAAGGGGAGGGGTGGCCAGGATGGGAGCGCCCCAGATCAATGGATATTTGAAACTCAAACACATGGCCAGGACCTACACTGCACGTGTTAATTACCACACATGTGCCTGTAAAGGGGTTCGTGAAACACAAGGGGCCCAAAGATCAGAGCGAGGCAAGGGCATTCCAAGGGATTAAATAAATAGTCTGAAGTTCTGACCCTCTCCCTTCCAGGAGCACGTGCATCTGGGTAAGATAACAGCACCTCCCTCCCTCCTGACCCCCCTTCTCCCCTCAGGCTCCACACCTGTGGACCCAGGAGCCTCAGCAACCCAGGCCTCCCTGTCCAGGCCAGCCGGCTGTGACCTGCTACCGCCCGGCCTCTCTCCCTCCTCCCTTCCTCCCGCTATCTCTCTGGGCCTCCTCGCCCAGCCTCCTCTCTCACTCTGCCTTTCTCCTCTCCTTTGGAGGACTAATTCCTGGCTGGCAACCAGACTCCCCATCATTGTACAATACGCCTTTTCATTCCTTCCAGGCAGAGAGAACCGATCCCTCCAGCCCTGTCAGAGGAGCAAATTCAAGAGGGTGGAGAAAGAATAGGCTGGGTCCGCTCCTCCCCCGCCCCCCCCCCACCACTCACACACCCAGCCCTCCGGCCTCACCTCCGTGCGGGCTGTACCCCTTACCCTGCACAAGCGCCAGGCCTAGCATCTGTCTGAGGCTGGCCAGAGGGCTGCGAGCTCCAGCTCTCTGGAAACGCCTTCTAGGAGACCCCACGTGTGGGCACGAGCTCAGACAAGGGGCCTTTGTGTCTTCCCACCTGCTGCCCTCTGGAGCACATTCCATTCTTAAGTGGCAGCTGAAAGAGGGACCTCAGCGGGCCAACACAGGATATTACGAATGCCCTCTCGCACCCTGTCCCCATTCAAACCTCAGCTTCCTGGACAGGTGTGGCTTCAGGTGGCCCTTCCTACAGGTGGCCCAAAACTGCTTTTCACTGCACTGCCCACGGCAGACAAAGAGAAGAGGATCCACACCGACACTGACCCTCCAAAGCAAAGGGGAAGCGAGCCCACTGACAGAAGCCAGTTCTCCAGGGGTGAGTGAGCCCGGGCATCCCTTTCCGCCTCCCTCCCCCAAGGCCTTTTCACTAAAGAGGGAACCTTGGCAGAACCATCTGGGAGGGAGGAACTCATCTCAGGCAGGAGAGCAAAGAACTGAAAATTGATGGCAACTTATCTCTGAGATGAGGCTTCAGACTCTACGCCCCTGTCCCCTGTACCATCCCTGAAGGAATCAGGTTCCCTGCCCTCTTCCAGATGAATTCATGAGGTCCCGCCATGGCACATGTCTGATTCTTATTGTTATCCTCAGGGTGCAAAGCCACGTCAACCTAGAAAGTACTCCTCTGTGCAGTTGCAGAACTTAAACTGAAACCCATGGGTGGCCTTTCCTGGGGTGGGTGCTTTATTCAGCATTGTGCTCTCAGTTCCCTGTCATTAGGGAAATCCGGGCGCTCTGTTCTGCGTGATTGCCAATTTATTTTTTTCTACCACCAGGACCTCATACCCAGAAATAAAGGCCATGTTCTGAAGACTCCAGCTGCAACAAGCAAAATGGAAGGCGGCTTTCTTTTTCAACCCCAATAAATTGTAGGCACATGCCATTCACAGCGTGGATGATTTCAGGTCTTTGCAGAAAGAAACGTTCATGTGCCTCTTTCACTAAAAGGAAACCACCAACCCTCACGGCTGTCTCCTCTGTCCTGGGAAAGACCTGGAAAGGCACCTGTTCCTTTTTTCTCACCCACTTACTCATTCCTGCTTGCAGGAGGCAGGGCAGCCCTTTTGGTCCGTTGGCCCCCGTTTTCTAGTGGGTGGTGTCGTCACTGTGCTCAGCTTCCACATCTCCTTGGAGCACCTGCCTAGAGGGGCAGCAGGTTCTCTGGACTCAATGCCTGCATTCAGGAAGGGTGACCTTGCCTCCTCTTCCGATCCCCACGCAATGAACTCCTGGAGCAGGGTCCAGGGACTTGTCTTGGTCTCCCCATGACAGTGAGTGCACCTCACACTGATCCTCTACAGACCCAACTATCACATGGGCTCCTACGAGCAAGAAGTTCCCAAGGCCCAGAGTCAGGTAGGAAACCTCAGACTCAGCCAAGGTTCCCTGCCTGGGTTTTACCTGAGAGCCCACAATGGGGGTTCTGGATTGCTTTCTCATGCAATTAAATTGATGGCTATTTTCTATGCAACTATAGCTCTCTGTCTGCATGTCACCTGCAGGTGAACAGTAGTGAATCTTAGTGTCCACTACACGGGAAATTATGGTCGACATGCCCCAGAGACCTATTCCTCACGGCAGCTGGTCCACTAAAGAGCACTCAGACAAACGCCTTAATCAGGGACTATATAATTTGTAGGGCCCAATAGGACATGAAAATGAAAGGTTCTTTGTTCAAAAAGCAGGAAAAAGTGTCATTAAAGAAACTAAAAATAAAGTTTTATCCTCTCTTTCATAGTGTCTCTTTTGACTTGCAGTGGTGGTTTTGAATTTGCTATTTAATGTTATTCTAGGTAAAGAAAAAAATGCATCCCAAAAGCTTATGTACATGAGAGCCAACATCAGCAGCAGGTACGCACATTGCACGTACTTCTTCTGTTCACATGCATGCTTCATTTGTCCTGTTGACTTTACGTACTTAAAAACACGGGTTCAAAGACAAAACAATTAAGAATTTCATGACTACAACCACACAGGTCACAAGCCCATGAAGCCAGACTAGTCTTAGTAAAGAGAATCTAGATGAGCTGGAATAATCATTAAGAAGCAGTGAGGGGGGAAATGCTCAGATAGATTTCCAAAATAAGAGAGTCAAGGCAGACTTGAGCAGGCCTACTTTCATTATCCTTCTTGGTTTAATGCTGGCTACACCGATAAGCTGATTGACTGAACATCCTAGGAACCAAGATTCTCAGGGTCCCTGCCAGCTCTGTGCCCTGCACTCACTCACCTCCCTCAGAAATTCTGGGACCTTGGTCCCCACTGCTGGTGAGCCTTACTTACCTCCGGCGCTTCTGGGAGGAAACACAGAATAAAAATAGATTTTCTCTGCAGGGCACTTTTAGCTTTCACCCCAGCTCCTTCCATCTTGTCCAAGAATTCTTGCTTGGACTGGCTTTAGGAGCAAACATTTAGATAAAGCATAAAACTCTACTCACCTTTCCTTCCTGAGTTACCCTGGCTCAAGGGCTTGTCGGTGACTGAACCTTGAGTGAGAAGGGAAACAAAAACACAGACATTCAGAATGCATCGTGGTTGGTTCCTTTCATAGAGTTGGCAAAGCTTGATGTTATGAGCATATGGTTATGTATATATATAGTATACACATCTCGGGACATTATATACAAAGTTAGTACATACATGCATGTCGAGTGGGGTTTGTTTAATGTCAATGTCACTGATACCACAGCACTGTTGAGATGAACCATGATTTCCATGTTCCCTGGCCATAGTCTTAACCAGACTTTTACAGAATTCCACATCCATATAACTCCCTTATTGAACATTCCCATAACTGCCCCTCGCCTTCACTCCCCATCTCCCTCACTCTCACCAGCTTCACCTTCTGAGCCATATCCACTCAGTGGGGCCAACAGAAAAGAAACCCCCTCTTACTGCAAATGCAATGATTGACATCCCTTGCTGGTTAGGGCAGGAAATCGGCGATTTTCCATGTGCATTAAGTAGAAAATTGTTGGCCCAATTGTCCTGAATGGGCCAAAATAGTCTGAGGCATGGAAACAATTTTCTAGATGCAGCAGGCTGTTCCTTCAGGAGGGGGTAGGGTGTGTGTTTGGCCACTTTGCCCTGCGTGTGCCAGGACGCCACACGCACCCGTCCTCCAGCCCTGACCCTGTGGCACCTGTCTCTCCAGGGCCCGCACAGGCAGGGCACAGGCGGCTCATCCACAGAAGGGCTGACCAACAAAAGAAAGAATCCATTTTTTCCCAATCTACACGATACCCCTTCTCTATAGACTGATTTTGTGAGAATCCAATTATCTTGCCCTGCATGGCTTGTTCCTAGTGCATTTGTTTGCTTTAAATGAAACTTTCCAGGTCATCTGCAAGGAGGGCTCATTCCTGCCCCTCCCCACAACGTCCCCATTTAAGGTTTCCAGTTTCCACGTAAACCACAAAGAAAGTAAACTTTCCTTTTTAGCCTGCAAATCTTGATTTCCTAATGTAGATACGTACTGCCCTTCCCACGTACTTCTCCCTTTAACATAGTGGGGCTAGTGGAAAAATGAATAAATTTTGTGAAAAAGGAAAAATGTAAGGATAGCAGGACTACTAGCCTTTGGAATTTCCCATAGGTTTTAGAACAATGTTTTACACTTTGTTTGCACTAAAAAATTGAAAGTAAGAAAATGGAGATAACTGTGCTTGAACAATAAAAAAATTAAAAATAAGTAAAATAAAATCTCATTCACAAAGATACAGAGAACTATGAAGCAGGTGATGGTGGGATAGGGTGTTTTTAACGAGGGCTGAACTGCATATGAATTGAGGGAGTGACTCTCAAGTCTCTTACAATCTTAATTTAAGTGGGAAGTGTGGGGCTTGTGTAAATCAATAATTCACAGTGCCACGAAGTTGACCTAAGAGCACAATTTTTCTGTTTATAAGTTGGAAACAGAAAGGACTTAATTTTTGCCATGGGCTGACCTAGAAGGTCACTATGAAACTGTGGCTCCCTAACCTGTCTAATCAACAGAATCACCTGAGAAGCTTCATAAACATGTGGACTCCAGGTCTCACTCCAGACCTACTAGATCAGAATATACAAGGAAGGGCGTCAATACCGGATTCTTTTTAATTCCCCAGGCACCATTGATGACAGCCAGATTTGAGGGCCACTGTGATGAAAATTTTCTATCACTTCACATTACATTGCTCAGGGGTGGCCAACATATGGCCCATAGGCCGCCACCCTCCTCTCCTGAGCTCATGACAAACATCGCTCATTGATCATCGCGGCCTTTGATGTTGAACTCCCATATCGTCTTGACATCCACCTCAATAAAGTCTCCCAGGGCCACTAGCAACCAGAGCATTCAAGCTAAAAACATACATGCCATGCTCTAAGCAGGGGTGTGAAAATTTTTAGCGTCTTTGGGCCACACTAGAAGAAAAAGAGTTGTCTTGGGCCACATTAAATACATTGCAACATGTGGTCACACACACACCAAAAAAAACTCACAATATTTTAATAAATTTACAATTTAGTGTTGGGCTGCATTCACAGCCAGCCTGGGTCACATGCGGCCTGCGGGCTGCAGGTTGGACACCCCTGCTCTAAGGGTTACAGAGGATACTTGGGGAAAAGGGCCTTAAACCAGAAACCTAAACTTACCAATAAATATATGCACACAAGCATATACTGACCCTATCACCCAGCAACCTGCAGAGCAAGTACACGTGTGAGCGGGATCCCCCCTCACCGGGGGGATGGCTCAGAACCACCACCAGTCTTTCAAAAATTCCTCTACAAGATGCAGGAGGTAGCCAAGGGGTCTCGCTCCAACCCTTTTCTTTCTTCCCGCCCCTCCCTACGGTACCTGAACATACAGGAGTTTTATTCTGCACAGAAGAGCCACTGATGGGCTTCCCATCGGGGGTCACACACCAGCAATACCCTGTGTAAGTATGGCACTGCACCTGCACAGAGAAGTCAAAGGGGGGAAAGGGCGGTAAGTCTTGGACCACGGTACCAACAGTCAGCTCCCATCCCTTTGAAAGCATCCCTGCTACGTTATGTTTTCTGTTTGACTCCCATGCAAAACCACAGAAATTTATCTATTTCTTTCTTATGACTTTTGACACAATATCTTATACTTAGATACGTCCAATACGTATTTCCTGTGATAGTTCTCACCAATACCCACACATTTTCCCCCCAAGCACTGGTATATACTCCCATCCAACTGTAAAAAATTCTAATTGGTAAACTAATTGGGCAAGTACAAGTTAGAATGCCACCACTGTAGATGGCTATGACCCTTCTTTAACAAGCAGAGACCGTGGTACACTTTTCTTCTTTTTCCAGCTTTTCCCAGCATCCATTCACACAGTCAGCCTGGCTGTTGCTCAGGTGGCTCTCCTGAGACAAGGGCACACATCTTGGGATTAAGGTAAGAACAAGGTCCCTGGTGCCTGCAGGTTCTAGGTGCTCCCCTGCACCACTGTGTGACCTTGCTCAAGCCTCCACGATCGGGCCCACCCTGTCTGGGAACAGCACATGAAAACGAGGCTTTGCTTCATTCCCGGTAACTCTTCCTTCTCTCCTGATCACTGTCCCTCTATCCATCTCCTCCCAGCCCACCATCCTCTTCCCACCTGCTTTCTGTAGAGCTCCGAAACACAAATCAGGGCATCACTCCGCCGCTTAAACCCCCTGGGTGATTTGCTAGGCTCAGGATGGAGATTAAATTCAGGATTATGCAGGAGCTCGAGCACCACACAAATTTGCTCATTGCACGGCACTCAAGGCCCTCCCTGATCTGCCCCCTTCCTGTTCCCACAGCCTCATTTTACACCACGTCTCCATGCATACTCTCCATTCCAGCCACAATGAACCCTTTGAAGCTTGCAAGTACGTCCAAGTTTCTCATGGTGCTGCACTTTCTTTGCTCCAACTATTCAATCTGTCTGGAATAACACTCCACAGCCCATGCCAGCCCCCTCCTAATCCCTTCAGATTCCCACCCGCTTGGTGACACACCTTCTCTGCAAAGTGGTCTCAGCCACCCCCTCTCTCCTCCCTCCCCCCTCTGATCCTCCACACATGCTGGTTTCCCAGATTCAGAGCTCTGATCCCAGTGAGCTGTACCATTGATCTATGTAGTCTACGTCCCTCTAGGCTGTGATCTCCCGAAGGCAGGGGACTACATACTGGTTATTTCTATATTCTAAGCATCTAGCATAATGCCTGACTTTTACTGTAAGCATTTGATGCATTGAATAAAGGCAAAAATTATCGTATTTTTTCAACCCTGATCTTTAGCAATTCTAAAATTGTAACATCAATTTAAACAGCCCCACCACATTAAATGTAGACCTCATTTACAAGATGTGTGCCAATTTGCACAGATATGAAAGTGTGGGAATACTTACCTCTTGGGATTAAGGACACATTGAAATTGAGGATAGATGGTAATAGCAAACAACCTGAGTGTTGAGGTCTCCGAGGGGTACAGAGGTAAAAGAGGGATCTGATGGCCTAGGTGAAACCCAGGACTTATCAGCAAGGAAGGCTTCTGCTTTTGCATGGATCCCAAGCACCACGGTTTCCCCAAGACTAGTTTCCCTGTGGACCTAACCCCCCATATCAGGATGAGAACAAGATGGAGGGCATCCTGTTCCTACCAGTATGATTCTGTGTGTAGAAGAGGCATTTACTTCTCCTGACCATGCAAGGAAACAATACGCAATGCCTTCACCTCGATGTTACATTCCACTCCCACTTCTCCTGGAGACAATCCACTGGCCAGAGCTGCTGCCCCAGATGCTCACTCAAGGTCAGCATCTTGGGTTGGGTCAGTGCTACCTTCTAAGGAGGCATAATGGTGGAATGGAAAGAAACCCAGACAGACCTGAGTTTGAATCCTGGTCCAGCCAGTTACAAGCTTAGCTCTGTGAGCCCCATCTATAAAATGGGATAACAACACCAAGCCTGGAAGGCTCTGAAGAGGAAAACAAACAGGGTGAGTCCAGTGGCTGGCACGGGCGATGGCCGGGTGCAGGGTGGCTGTGGCAATGACTGCTCTCCGCTGTGTCAGAAACACCTGCCAAGCCAGCCTGCTCCCACGCCAGAGCTTCCCTAGTAACCTCCCGAGGCCTGGGTGGGCAACGCAGCTGGAAACTGGGATTGTACCCCTTCGGACTCTGTCGGCCCTGCAGGGGATAGTTCCTAGAGACGATGCCTCGCCACTGACAGAATTTTGATAGGGCCTGGCTGGCTGTTTTCTCCTGCTTGGCCAATAATCACCTCACGGAAGACCTGTCCCTGGGGCTGGGCAGCCACACTGACTCACTCCCAGGCCCCTTGGCTCCCACGGTCAAGGCTGGCCTCCCTCTCCTCGAGGATGGTACTGCCCAAGTCCCGCACCTGAGGCAGTGCCTTTGGCCCAGTGCTGCCTGTTACATACAGCCAGGCACTGTCGGCAAGCGGGCTGCAGAGAACTGCTAGCTGGAAAGCCCCCTCCTCCCGGGCATGCAGAGTCCCAGTCAAGTTGTGAGGACAGAACTAAATGCATGAGCAAGAGCTTAAGCCCAAAGCTTTGTTTCAAGGAATATAATTGGACCCCTGGGCTCAGCGGGTCCCAAGGGTCACATGCTCAACTGAGTATGTCCACTGTATCCCCAAGGACACATGGACACTGCCTCCCAGCCCCAGCCAGCCCTGCAAGTCCAAACACAGCCCCTTTCTCCCTAGGGCCCTCAGCATTTTCCTTGGACCAGGCTCCAAGGAATAGACTCCAGATTACAAAATCTTCAGGCTGGGAGCTGCTTCCAAGTCCTAGAAAACTGGAGCTAAATGAGAAATTGCTGCCTCTGAGGCCTGGAGCACACGGAACTGGGCTCCCCTGGCCCAGGTGTGCCGCAGGGGAGGGGGCAGCGGGCTGCAGGAAGTGCAGGAGCTGCCCAGCAAGGATGCTTCCCTTTGTTGAAAGAGCCCCGAGTGAATTAACCCATGACTCTCAATCAAGAAGATGTTCGTAAACTGTCTTAAGGAGTTTCCAAGATGTCTTCTTAAAGAAAAATAAGTTACATGAAGACAGAGAGCAGCGGTCATCAAGGCAGACTGCAGCCCACCTTCCTTAGCAAACCATCCCCATCACGCCAGCACTGAACTTCCTAAGCCTCTGCAGCCTCGAAAAGCCCCTTAGTCAGACTGCCCGAGTCTATTTTAAAAGGGGAGATAATAATACCTACCTCACCCCATTGCTGATAGAATTAAATTAGATGATGAAAATAAAGCACTTAGTTCGTATGGTTAAGTACCCAGTTAAGCTACACTATTTGTTGTCATTGTGCTATTTTTAAGCAAATTACCTATGCACTCAAAAAGGGCACAGCCAGTTTCTCTGATGAAGAACATCCTCTTCTGACCAGCCACAGAGGAGGGGGCAGTCTGAAATCAGCAAAAACTTTGAAAAATTTCAGTGCAAGAAAGGGAAGTCTGTCACAAAGGAACAGTTTTATTCTACTCAGAGGACAGAAGGCTTCTTGCAGAAAAAGGATCATGATATCAATTCTACAGAATTGGTAGTTTATACATACATCCAGATGTAAATTCAACCCAGTTTAGTCTCCTTTGCAAACTTACTTATTCTTTTGAATTAATAAATTATTTATTCTTCATTCTGCCTTTCCTAACCCCAGCCTCAAATTAATCAACATTCAGATAAACCTATAGGAAGAGCATGGGCTGAGAGGAATTAACAAGGTAATTCATTGGCCATTTCTAGTATCCCACTGTGCAGTTCTCAAAGCTCAGGGTTGTTCTGGCCCCAGAGAAACAGATACCATGGAATTTGCTCCTATCCCACTCTGGAACATCCCTGGAAGGCTGAAATGTCCATTGATGATGGGTCCTTCCTTACAAGACAAAAAGTGCTTGTACATCAGCTTCAAAGTGAGGTTACTCTCTGTCTAACTATACAGTTGAATGTAACGAGTGTTCCTAGAGGTTCTTTAAAACAGTGTGTTCTTAGGTAAGCAAATTTCATCTCTGACTCATATACTTAAGATTTTTGGCTTGAAGCCCTTTGTATAAACAGCCCAGCAGTATATTGCAGGTCAACTGCTGTCCAAATTAAGACAAAATCTGAAATTATTTTAAGCCTGTTAATCCTCAACATCAGTCCAACTCCCAGACACCTGGCAGATGTGGGAGGCTGGCCCTCCTGGCAGATGTAGTTGAGTGAGCGGTGAGGAGAGTAGAGCAGAGCAAACAGCAGCTCCCAGGACAGGGGGCAGAGCAGACCAGGGGGTGAATGCAGGAGAGAGCGGAGGACTACAAAGGAGACAAACGCTGGCCCATAGCGGAACTACAGGGCCACGCCCCTAACGGAGAATGCCGCCTTCTATTGTAATTCTCAGCGGCCTTCAGTCACCACTAACAGTCTATGTGTTATCTCATTGGGGTCTTAGTCGCCCTGTGCACACACCTTCCATAGGAGAGGAACAAGGGGCAGAGCGTATTTGTTCAAGCGTCACAGCTAGTTCATAACAACTTAGGGATTTGAATCCCCCATCTCCAAACTCACATAAAATTTCAGAACGGAAAGAGCTGGGGAAACTTTAGCAATTTCCAGTCTCACCCAAACATTTTACAAAGGAGGAGAGCAAGGCCCAGAGGCAGACAGGTAGCCTGATTGCCAACACCCAGCTGTGACAGCTGGCAGGTGTGCTGGTGTCTGAGGGAACTGAATGTCTCTTTGTGCATGTAATCTCCACGAATGGAACTCTTTTGCGGGGGGGCACGGTGGCGGGGAGTGGGAGGGGGGAGGCTATCAATAAATATTCAGATCAAGGAGGCAGCTGGGAGAGAGAGGCTTTTGCTCCAGTTTGAGTGAGAGGCATTTCCTGGAGTTGTCTGGGGGACACACAGGCACCTCTGCCACGCCAATGGCCGGCCTGCTTTCCTTTGGTTG